ACCCCCATCCTGCCCATCCCACCCCTGCCCTGCCAGGCTCCCCTCCTCAGGTCTGCTCCCCCTGGGCCTGTGCCGGGGCCTCCCCCACAGTGTCAGCGGGTCCTACCATTGCCCCTCGAGCTGACCCCAGCAGGTGGGTGCTGCTGCTTCCAGGGCACCTTGCACACAGTAGACTTGGCCTATTGTGGAGCCTCTTTCCTGGGAGGAAACCAGCTCTGAGAGGCCACGTCCAGCAGCAGGTGGAGGAGCTGCCCTATACCCCGCTCTGCCCCTAGGCCCCCACTTCAGTCTCCCCCTGTCCTGCCCCCAACTGGGCTTCTGCACCTCAGAGGCACAGGTCTCCTTCGTCCTGATGGGCCTCCAGTCTCCGGCTGCCCTCTTCCTGCTCAGACTCTCCCAGTGCCCCCCTGGGCCTCACCTGCCTCCAGCCCCTCTCTGGACATCCCGCTGGTGCCTCCCCCCACCCCTGACTCTGGTCCTGGTGGCTGTAGTGGCCATTTAGCTGCCCCTTCACCTCGTGTCCTTCTCGCCTCCCTCCGGTCTGTCCCCGCATTCGGTGTCACGCCTGCTTAAACCCTTCCTTGTCGGCTCTGCATCAGAGCCAGACCTTCACCTGGCACACGAGGGCCTGCTCAGGCTCCCTCCGGCCTCTGCCTGGCTACTCCCTGGCCTGGGCCTCGGCCACCTGGCCTCCCTCCCCATGTTCCTCAAGTGCTCGAAGTGGCGTTCTCTCTTCTGCCTCCACCACCCTTCGCATGTCCTCTGCCAGGTGTCTCCTCTCACCCAGGCACATCCGCCTGCTCCTCTGCTGCTCGAACGTGCAGGCTTCCCTGGGTCCCTGGAGACCCTGTCACCCTCAGCCCTGGGTGCCAGTTGTCCCATTACCTGTCTGCTATCCATCACCCCTGATCGGGGGTCTGCAGGGCCAGGTCTGACTGTTGGTTTGGTCACACCGCTGCCTACTTGGGCCTCTCTAGCAGAAGCCCAGCTCTGGAAAGTACCTGCCGGATGTCGGTTCTCCCCTGGGTGGCTGTCCCCATCCTGTTCCCAGGTTTTCAATGGGGACAGGAAGGGGGAGGAAGGGCTAAGGAACTAGAGCTCCTTGGATGGCTGGGAGCTGATCCAGACTCGGAGCTGCCCCTCCCCCAGAGGATCCCAGCTGTCACCCTCCAAAAATAGCCCGCGTCTGTGGGCAGGTGTGCCAGGGCTGGGTGGTGCTGCCAGTGGGCAGAGCTGGCCCTGTAGACAGTGGGGGGAGATGGGGACAGCTGCAGGAGCCTTTCCTGCCTGGAGCCCAGTGCCAGCCTGGGGGGTGTGCCTCCATCCCACCTGGTGCTCCTGCCTCCTCCCCAGGTGATCGGGCTGCTGGACGTGTTCACTCCGGATGAGACCCTGGATGATTTCACAGACTTGTGAGTACTGGTTTGGGGCTGGCCGGGCAAGGTGGAGGCGTGTTGGGTCACTCCTGGGTGCCAACCTTGGGTTCTGGGTTGGCATGGGGGCCTGCTGAAGGTAGGCTTCTCCCTGGGGGTCGGGATGCACACTGCCCACCCATCGTCACACCACAGTCCACCTCCCTGCCACGTGCCCCTGGGACCCACAGCACTGGCACAGACAGGTGGAACCTGGGCCTCCTCTTCCCGTCACGCTTGGCACCAGGCTGTCTCCAGTGCTGGAGGTGCGAGCCTTGGACCCGAGCATTTGTGAACTGGCACGTCCTGGGCTGTGGGCCCTGGCAATGAGTGTGTGGCCATAACTGGAGCTGCTGACCTTTGCAGGAGGGGTGGGGAGGAGAGGCATGGTGCCGGCCCTGTGGCTGCCTGGGCAGCAACCCTTGGGCTCACACTGCTGTTGGCCAAGAGCCAGGGACCTGGCCTGGGACGGGCTGGGAGGACCGGTCCCCCACTGCTTGACCTTGCAGAGGTCAAGGACCCATGCTGGCCTCAGTGTCCTGGCCAGGTGCTGAATGTCTCTCGCTTCATCTCCCTCCACCCACCCAGCCTGCCCCTCAGACCCCAGCGCCCTGCTATCCCACCTTGCCCATAGGCACTTCTTTCCCAGCCCCTTGCCTGGCACAGTCCCTGCCCACCTGGCATTCTGGGGTGGGGCAGGTTCTTGGGAGGTGGAGGACTGGGGGTCTTCCTGGGCCTGAGCCTGCCCCGCCCCCCACAGTTACCTGGTCATGCCGTTCATGGGCACCGACCTGGGCAAGCTCATGAAGCATGAGAAGCTGAGTGAGGACCGAATTCAGTTCCTCGTCTACCAGATGCTGAAAGGACTGAAGGTGAGGCCTGAAGGAGGGGCGGCCCCCTGCTGATCCGTGGCTGTGAGGTCCCAGTGCGATGACACGGCTGACCCTTTCTCTGTCCCCACAGTATATCCACGCTGCTGGCATCATTCACAGGGTGAGTCCTGGTGCTGGTGGGAGCTTCTGGCTGTGTGGGCGTCTGAGGGGCTCAGCTCCTAGGAGCCTCCGTTTCTCACCTGTAAGGGCACAGTGGGGTCCAGTGGGGATGTCACACAGTGCCTCACACACCTGGGGCCCAGGCGCCTCCACCCTCCCCAGTCTGTGTGCTCCCAGGCTCAGCTGCTGCCCCGGTGCCCACACTTGCACCCCTGCTGCCAGGCCACACAGCCACCTCTCCTCTGCCCCTAGGACCTGAAGCCCGGTAACCTGGCAGTGAATGAGGACTGTGAGCTGAAGGTGTGTGTTGGGTGGGGGACTTGGGCTCCCTCCCCACCTGGCCATCTGCCTGCCAAGCCCTCTGTCTTCAGACCTGCAGGAGGGCTGGCCTAGGCCCAGGCAGAAGGGCCAGCGGTGAGGCACTGGCTGAGCAGCTGATGGCCAGGTGCACCCTGGGGAGGCACTTGATGGGGGGTGGCATCGGGCACACTCCCATCCCTGCTTGAGGTGAGGGGTGGGAGGCATCCCCCAGTGCCTCATGCCTGAGCCAGGGCAGGACCCAAAAGGCCTCCCCAGAGGTGCCTGTCAGGACCTAGGGGACGTGGAGCGGAGAAACAGGGAGAGGAGACCCCTTGGGTGCCTGGTCCTAAGGGTGGGCCGAGGCAAGTTCTGTTGGGCTAGGTGCAGTGGCCATGGGGAGGAACCCATGGGAGGGCTTGAGGGTCCATGGCTGTGACCTCAGGCCCTGGAGGGTTGGCAGGAGACCCAGTGTACCCAGTCCCCTTGGGGCTCCCTGGGCCACAGGCTGGCCCACTCATTCCCCCGGAGCCCCTCTGCCCCACCTTCCTGATTCTGGCTGCAGATCCTGGACTTTGGCCTGGCCAGGCAGGCAGACAGCGAGATGACTGGATATGTAGTGACTCGGTGGTACCGGGCACCTGAGGTCATCTTGAATTGGATGCACTACACACAGACAGGTGAGAGACTGCCCAGAGATGGGGCCACCACCTGCCTGAGCCTCCCAGGCTGGACCCTCCCTCCCCACACCCATGGCTGCTCCTCTGGAGGCTGCTGAGCTGGGTTGGAGCCAGGAAGGTGTGGCAGACCAGATGGCCCCTGTGTCCATGTCCCCCCTGTGCGTCCCTCCCCCACCCTCGGCCCACAGAGCCCTGATGAAGGGCCTTCTGTCTCAGTGGACATCTGGTCTGCGGGCTGCATCATGGCTGAGATGATCACAGGGAAGACGCTGTTCAAGGGCAACGACCGTATCCTACACCTGTGGGGTCAGGTGGGCGGGACACACTGTCCAGGCTGGGTGGGTGGGTGAACCCTGCTCTCTGGCCCACCCTGTGCTCCTGAGCTCGGGCGAGACCTGGACCAGCTGAAGGAGATCTTGAAGGTGACAGGCACACCTCCCGATGAATTTGTACAGAGGCTGAAGAGTGCAGATGTCAGTGGGGAGCT